TACAAGGAAGGCATTCTTTACCATGAGGCTGGTGGCACAATGGAGTGGGTTGTCCACAGTGCTGCTGGGTTCTCCATCCATGGAAACATTCAGGGCCAGGTTGGATGGCGCTCTGAGCAATCTGCTCTAGGTGAAGATGTCCCTGCTCACTGCTGAGTGCTTGGTCAAGATGACCTTTAAAGATCCCTCGCAACCGAAACCATCCTATGGTTCTATATTTTGATCTTCACCAGCAAGCAGACATATGATACCAGTTTGATAGTTTAGTCTTTAAAGAGTCTGTATTTTATGGGGGCTTGGCATGTATTAGAAAGTCTGTATTGCCACAAACCAGAGGAACCTGATGCCAAGCGTTTTATGAACAGAAAGGAGAAATGTTTACAATCTGCATAAGAGTCAAGGCTGAGAAATGGGAAAAACAAATCAGTGCTACTCAGGTGTGACCAGCTTTAGCATCAGTGCAATGACACAGTAAGCATTGTTTTGATTTTGTTGTTTTGTTAGCAAAAAATTTATTTGATGGAGGACAAATCCTAATTTTCCAACTGGGCTGAGGGTGAGATCTTTTTGTGAACAGCTTCAGCTGGTCCAGAGTAGTCCTGTTGCAGCGCTGGATGTTCCCATCTGCTTGTTCTGGCTGGCACTGATGTACCTGTAGCAGGGGAGTCAGCTGGGTCAGCTTGCTGCTGTGTTGAGCAGACAGGTTCTCCTGTAGGGTTAGTTTCACCAGAGGCACAGATATGATCCAGCTGGCCCTGCAGCTGCCTGAGCAGTAGCTGCTGTCAAAGGGGTGATTAGACTGTTTGGGTGGGTGAGGAGGAGGCACTTGGATTTTCAAAGATTGGCTTAAGCCAATTGTGAAACTTCACCGTGATTGAGTCCCTCTTAGTGACTATTTTTAGCAGGGCAGTGTGCTTATCTTGGGTTTCTTTCAAATGTGCGAATGACATTAGTATGAATGACAAGAATGTGCCCCTGAGTTCTGAGAGCAGGGTGTGAAGAGCACTTCTTGGAGGAAGAATGAGCAAGTCTCTTTCATGAGTATTCTTTGTGCCTTGTAAATCTCCATTCATCCTGCTCCTATTCAACAAGGGAAAGTGCCAGATTCTGCACCTGGGGTGGGGCAACCCCGGTTGTTCATACAGACTGGGGAATGAGATGCTGGAAAGCAGTGCCATGGAATGGGACCCGGGGGTCCTGGTCAGTGGCCAGCTGGCCATGAGGCAGCAGTGCCCTGGCAGCCAGGAGGGCCAACCATGTCCTGGGGGCATCAGGCCCAGCATCTCCAGCCGGGTGAGAGAGGGGATTGTCCCGCTCTGCTCTGCAGCCTCACCTAGAATATTGTGGCGGTTTGGGGTACTGCAATATGGGAAAGATATCAAGCTCTTAGAGTGTCCAAAGGAGGGCAATGGATTTGGTGAAGGGCCTTGAGGGGAAGCCTTATGAGGAGCGGCTGAGGGCACTTGTTCTGTTCAGCCTGTAGAAGAGGAGACTGAGGGGAGACCTCATTGCAGTTACAGCTTCCTCAAAAGGGGAAGAAGAGAGGCAGGCACTGATCTCTTCTCTGTATCACTGGTAACCAGTGATAGGGCCTGTGGGAATGGCCTGGAGTTGTGTCAAGGGAGGTTTAGTTTGGATATTAGAAAAAACTTCTTCACCCAGAGGATGACTGGGCACTGGAACAGGCTCCCCAGGGCAGCGGTCACAGCACCAAGGCTGACAGAGTTCAAGAAAATCTCAGGCACATGGTGGCATTTTTGGGGTGCCCTGTTTGGGGCCAGGAGTTGGACTTGATGATCCCTGTGGGTGCCTTCCAACTCATCATATCCTGTGATTCTTTGTAATAATAAAAACAGGGTGGTACCCCTTACTTTTGTTTTAATTAATTTGTAGAATCAACTAAAAGATAGGATAGGGCTACCTGTTCATCTGTTGTTCTTTGAGCAGGGGTAGCAGCAGAAGACAAGAGTGCATCTGTGTGCTGCCTTGAAATGGCATTTCATAGGCTTCTTTTTTTTTTAGTCTTGCTGTTTGAAGTCAGTGCTTTCAGTTGAAGATACACAGGAAGGGAATTTATTATTAATGAATTGTTAGCTTTCTGGATTTTTTTTTTCCCCTCTAAATTATTGTCCCCGAAAGGCACATCAAAAAATGTAAGTATGGACAAACCTATCAAACCATTCTGCTCTCAGTTTTGCATGTATGAGACGGATGGATTTTGCAGTTCAGGCTCTGGTCCCCGGTACTCTGTTCCCTGCCACTGTCTTTAGTTTTGGCAAGCTGATTAATGACGTTCCTTAGTCAGTGGAGTGGGGCAGTTTTTTGATTAACTTGTTAATAAGCAGGTTGAGAAGAGGAAAGCCACGTAGTAATTGTAGGCAAGCCATTTGCCAAAATGACTTCTTGCCACCTCTGCAAGCCTAAAGAAAAGTAAACACGGAGCTGTTAATCTCAAGGGGTGTGCAAAGCAGGGCCAGATCGTGAAGATGCGTGGCTCTGACAACTGCAGTGCCTGGCCATGCCTGTCTGCCTTGATCCTCGAGCGATAGCACTGTTGCAAGCTGTGCATCTAAACTGCTTTAAAAAACCCAAAGAAGGAAGATGAATTTCTCTCTGCTGCGTCATCCAGCCTGTTTCCTTGTTATAACAAGGTTGTCACGCAGAGAACACCATAGTGAGTCTGATGTTTCTCACAGATGAGGTGTGGTCCTTGGACTTCTGGCACATGGCCAAAGCAATCCAGATTTGGGAAATCCTTGATGTCAACTTATTTGGCACGCTAGTGGCTGACATGCATATGTCTTACTAGGAGGAGGAACTGAATTTTGTGCAGAGCTTGAAATCAAGAGACAAATATGGACAGTTCAGTGTTTGGAGGTTGAGGGGGTTTATGACGTCCAGAAAAAAACTTCTGGGGCTGGTTTTTCATTTCTATATGAGTAGCAGTGAAAAAAATTCTTATTCCTGCTTGAGATAACTCAGAAAATTACTGCAGGTTATCAGGACATTGTCAAGACTTCGTGTCCAGGCTGCTTTGGAGTTGTTTGCAGATATACTTATTTCAAGAGTAATAAATATTTTGTATTTTATTCACTCTAGAGTTTTTAAAACTCTTCAAATGGTATTCATTTCTGCACTCTTATCTGGGTACCTCTCTTGTTTCTCAGCGTTTCTCCCTTTATGGCTTTAGACACTTTAGAAGTCTCTAACAACTGTTTGGCTTCTCTTGGCTTATTGCTCTGGATTTACAGTGAAGATTTCTAGACAGTGATGCAGCTTTCAAGTGTGAGCTTCTGGTTTCCTGTCCTGCCCCATGTGATGCAAGAGTCTCAGTAGGTACAGACAGTGCTTGCTTGTTTTACTCTAGGGAGGTGGTGGTTGTTTTTAAACTACCCAGAGTTCCTTACCAAGGCAGGGAGCAGTTACTGCTCAGACCTTTTACCAGGTGTCTCAGGCTGTGAACTGCATTGTGAGGCTTGGGAAAAGTGAGGAGTGCCTCCCTCCAACTCAACTGCATCTCAGCTGCTGTCATACCCCACTCCTGCATGCAAAGTAAAGAAGTAACCATGAAAATGCAGTCCTTGTAGGATCAGTCTGTTCTAGGCTGCTGCTGACAGCAGAAAATCACTGTGATGCACAATTCTAGACACAACACACAGATAGCAATTAACAGATTTCAGCTTTCTCTGTGGAATGTGTTCAACGTACCATACTTTATCAGGCTTTTATTTGACATTAATATTCTGCTAGTTCAGTACATCAAGTAATAAATATGATTCTAAATTATTTGGGTGTTTTTTTCCTTATCCTTCTGTTAAAGAACAGATCTACAGTCTGTAAGAGTTCACCAAAAGCAGCTTGTTATGTATAACTTATCTCTGAGAACCCCTAGATTTTTATTCTGTCCTTCTAGAAATGCCCTGGCAATTGCAGAACATTTCCTGGAGATGTTTATCTTTTAAACTGTATTGAGATTTTTTTGTTATTATTGTTGTCTCTGGTTCACTTCCAGAGGCTTAGAGACAATGTTCTTTGGTTATAGAAGGAACAGACTTAAGGTGATGTGAAATTTAATTATAATCCTAGGCTATGATTCTACATCACTTTCCTTAATGCCAAGTCAGCTTCAGGTCCTCCATTTCCTTACTTCACTTGTGTTCCCTCACGGTCTTTGTGTCCTCTGTGGGACCTGTTTGACTGTTGGTGCAGCTGCCCTCTGAACACCATCTGTGAAATGACCCAGTCCAAGAGCCTCCCAAATGAAAGTGCACTTTGGCAGTGGATGTAAACCTTTGTTCTGGCTTAAATTACAGCCCCGTGGTTGTATGTTTGAACTGTCATAGCTCTGGCTGTAATGTCTGTTTGAAGAGTTGTAAGGCTTCATAACAGAGTTTTCTGACAAGGACAGTGACATCTGCTCCAGTTTGTAGACTTTTTGCAGGATGAGTTATGTAGCTAGATATGGTTTTTCTCAGGTGTTGGCAGTGCTGTATTTAGTTACCATTTCCTGTGTGTTGTCAGAAAATAAACTCCAAATGCACAGATTTATAAACTGTCGGTCTGTCAAAGCCAAAATTTCACTGTCTTCTCTGTGAGGCAGGAGACTTGTTCTGAGCCCTGTGGGGCTTACTGGCTCTTTTGAGGTGGGTCTCTTTCTCACTGTAGCACAGAGAACCTGAAAAAAATACTGTTTTGTCATACTCAACAGGGAAAAAATTTATATTCAAGGGTTTTGTTAAATAGGAAGCCTCATATGACAGATTTCTCTTTTCTCCCTTTCATTGCGGTGAAAATCGAATGGGGTGATTGAAATAAAACCCACTGCCATTGTTAGTTTACTGGGTTTGAGAAGAAATGTGTGCATTTTTCATCCATAATTGAAGTATTTGTATATTTCAACTAGAAAGGAATGTCAGTTCAAAATAGGGAGAATATTTGATCATCTTGTTTTTCTTATCTGTTCCACAACGACTTACTTGTCTGTTTGTTTTTTTCCCCAGTTATTTGTAGTCGATGTCCAGACTGGTCAAATTACCAAGATTCCTATTCTGAAGGATCGTGAACCGGGCATGGTGAACCAGCAGGGATGTGGCATTCATGCCATCGAGCTCAACCCCTCGAGGACCCTCCTGGCCACAGGTGGAGACAACCCCAACAGTCTTGCAATTTATCGCCTGCCTACACTCGATCCTGTCTGTGTGGGAGATGTAAGTGGGAGTACCTGGGGAAGGTTTATTCTGTCACTTACAGGAACCGCTACTTTGAAGTGTGTAAGGTCAGAGCAAGGTTAAGGTTTGGGAGTGTTGTAATGGAGAGTGAATTGCTAAAAGCCTGAAAATGTTCCCAATTGAGTTGTCATTTTTGACGTGGTATCTGAGTGAGTACATAAACATGTGGGTGGATTCTCAGGATTCTGAGCCAGATTTCTTCCTCACCCTCTTTCAGGTCTATTTCAGATCACCTTTAAGCACTGAAAATGTAAAAAATGCTAAATGTTAAAGTCCAGTTGTGGTGATGACCTCTCAAGCTAGTTACAGTGAAAAAGCTCTTTTGGGAAATTTAAAAGGTGATGCAAGTTGTTCAGATTTTCCCCTTAACCAGTGCAGCTTACAGATGTATTCCAGAGGTTAAACTTGGCTTTGAAGGTTAGTTCTGACTCAGTGGCTTGTGGCAGTTTGGTAGGCTCTTGTACTGGTTTTATTTCTGAAATGTCCTGAGGCCTTTTTAAAACAGCCAGTCTTTTAAAAAAAGCTGAAATTAGTAGAGTGGTGTCCTGTGAATGCTTCTGTCTCATTTCTTCTATTTATTCAGGACTTCATATGGGCGTTAGCCACAGCAGCAGACGTCGGGTCAGAGTTCTGCAGCAGCAGATAACCAGCTGCAGCAAGGCCTGACTCTGAAGATTTGCATGACTTGCTCTTCATTTGCATGACTTTTTATCTTTTCAGACAGAACTAGAGCCTTTTTTTTTCCACACGCACAGGTTTTTCACTTCCTAAAGAGGAGATTCTTGAAATAATAGCCTTGAAATATTAGTCAGTAGGTCATGTATCATAAACACAAGATTTTGGTTACCTTTTGTATTAGGATGTGCATTTGCAGAAGTAAAGAATGCTGCTTTCAGAATGGAAAATCAGAGTCCTTGGAACTGGGATCAATTTATCCTTGGTCAGAGGCCTGTTTTTCCAACACCTGATTGCTCTCTATTAATTATACACTACAAACCCCAAAAAGTCAAAGTTACTGCTAGGTACTTAAGCTGCTCCAGCTTGATACTGGAACATTTTTTTAGTGCGGGTCTGTCCGTCTGAGTTTGAACTAAAAATCCAGGTGGAGAACACTTGTCTGCTTTGAGACTACTCTGGAGTATTATGGCACAGAAAAATCTGTCTTTCTTCTTTTAGGATGGACATAAGGACTGGATATTTTCAATTGCATGGATCAGTGATACTATGGCTGTTTCTGGTAAAGTCAAATTTTTATTTCTATTTTTCTGGTTGGTTGGTGGGGGTTTTGCCTTTCACTTTTTGTTTTAAACTTTCCTCTTCTCCAGAATTTTATGCTGAAGTACAACATTTTATGAGTCTTCAGAAAGCACCTCTATCAGGGCATTTGAAGCCACCTAGAACTACCAAGGGTATTTAAACACTTCATCTAGATTTGATTTTTCTAGTATCAGAGAGAATATTCCTGTGTTTCTAGTAGGTGTTGCCATGAGGGGATCTTTAAACACGACGAGTTACAGGAAAGGGTTTCACATAAGAGGAATCATTTCAAGAGGAGTTTCAGTTATCAGTTGATAACTTTGGAATACTGCAGAGCAATATCAGTTTCCCGAAGTCCTGTGACAGGCTAATTAAACTCTTTTTTTTCAAGCTATCAGTACAGTTGTGTGTGTGTGTATATATGTACATGTTCACGTAATAGGAAAACTCCGTTACTGACTGTTTAGTAACTACTTGGATAATCAGTGTAACTCCATAAAGTATTAGTTAGATAAGGGCAGCAATACTAATAGGCCATTGCATTAATTTAGTAGTTCACTGCCTTTCTGTGCTGACAGGGTGTAGTAGTGTTGTGCATGCAGAGTTGTCAAACTGCAGGTGACAGAAAATCATAACACTCTTATATAAAAGGCAAACCCTTGAAATGTTAGTGTCGTTCAGCAGAAGTTTTGTTTTCCAGAATCAAAAACTCAGTCCTGGAACTTGATTTTTGAGTTTAACATGAAAGTTGATCCTTGCAAGTCTCTACCCCAAATATCTACATTAAAAAATCCCACACTGTCAGCTAGTAAGCTTGAAGATGATTACAGATATCCAAGGGAAAGAAAGATAGGGACCCAGTGAAATGCACAGCTCCCAGTGTGTTCCAAAGGTCAGGGGTGGATGTGTGAGTAAAAGGCTGCTGTGTTCTGTGTGTTCTTAAATGTTATGAACTTCAGAGCTCAGTAAAATTACCTGTGTGGTCCTTGCAGCAGGCAGGGAAAACTTGTTGAAAGCAATTAAGCAAGACTGGTTGCTAAACTGATCTCTTCAGAGCTCACAGACAACCCTAATTAAGAGATAAAAAAGTCAGGGAACTTCTGACATGGTTTTTATCTTCTAGATTTCGATTCCATCTGTATCTGAAAGTGCAGAGTAGAAATACTTGAACTCCAGACATCAAGGACACAGCAAATATTTTGATCTGATTTAAAAAACTAAATGCAAATTTTTTGTTACTTTCTTGAGGCAAGTTAAATGCCACAGGAAGAAAAGAGTCCTTTGGCCCCGTGGCAGATCACACCCATCTGGTTAAGAGATTGGACGCCTTTCTCGCTGCAGTCAAAGCTGTTGAAAGAGGACTGGGGGCTTATTATTCCTTGTGTTTGTTTTAACTTCAACAAGAACAGGGCAGGACTCTGTCAAACCTTTAGCAGTCTATTTTTCAGTAGTCCATAAGTCTAGTCCATAAGTCAAATTCTTGACTAAGCAGCCATAGCTAAGGAAGAATACAACAGTCCACTTAGCTGTGCTGGCTGGGCAAAAAGATTTCCATGGCAAAAGCTCTGATGAGGTGAATAATCCCCAGGATGTCATGAGCTTAGGGAAGCAAATGGTACTCTGCTTGGCTTCAGGGCTAACCAGTCGAACAACATATATGGGCCTTTTCCTCTGCCAGGGGAGATTGACAGGGCTTTTAACAGGGAGAGTTTCTTCCTACTGCACATCTAGACCTTCAGAAATTCTACTGCTGAGTATTCAGCCTCCATGACAAAGAAGATTAGGTGGCATTAAAGCCAGTGGCACAGAGTGGAGTGTCAGGATGTTGTGTCATGTGCTGCCTGCTGCTATGCAGGTGCCATTAGGATGCTCCTTTTGTGTTTGTCTGTAGTAGGTGATAGCAGCAAATGCCTGAATCCATCCATGAGGGAGTAAAGCCGCTTCTCCTGTGCTGGACAATCCATATTGTAACAAGGTGTTCTGCTTAACTGTCTTTGTAGCTTTTTCCCTGTGATGTAGCAAAGCCAGTTAACTTAAGAGTCTGGTGTAAATACTTTGTCTTTTCTGGCATCTTCATTACAAATTCCCTTTGACAGAAGGAGGCATATATTTTTCACATTATGTAGAAAAGAAATTGTGGTACCTGTCAAATCTGTCAGAGCTGACTTAGATGGAAGTGAGTTGCCTAAACACCAGAAGGGATGGGTATAAGGCCTTGAATTAAGACTGTGTTGATCTGTGAACCAGAGACATTCAGCTTTCTTCATCCGATATTGCTACTGTTAGTGATTCATATTTTGCGGTAACGTCATCAAATTCAGCAAAAAAAGTAAAATGAGTTCTTGCTTGTTTAACCTCAGTTCCCATGTTACATTCTTTAAACGAGTGGCCCATTTTAGCAAAATAATTTTTAAAATAGATTTCATTCAAAGTGGTACAAATTGTGCTCTGAAATAGCTGTTTCTGTTCAGTTCAAGAATGAGTGTGTGCTTATCCATAAGCATACTGATAGAAATCAAATGAACCCAGCTGAGTTTTGGAGGGTTTTTTGCATTGGTTTAACAGGTTTTCGATCTTGGCCTTGGTAAGCCAGGCTCAGGCTGAACCCAAAGGCTATTCAGTCACTTCTGAGTCAAGTTGTTCTATGCCTGTGAATCTCTAATGGTGATTCTTCTACAGGGTTGTGGTTTTTGATGTATCCTAATTTAGCTTGAAAACAGATGAGGTGATTCCATTGGCCTGGAAAGTCTGTAGACAAACAGCTGATAATGAGTTCAAACATTATGAGCTTTGGAGCTCAGTAAAATCACATTTGTGTTAATTAATACATGAGTGCCAACAGTGTGTTCAGTTAGATTAAATTAATAGTATCCTTTCTTTCAGACCCTACTGTTTCTTCCTTTTTAAAGAGGGGAGTTACGTGTATGTGAAATGGACTGTTTATTTATGGACCATTTGATCAGGTTCCCGGGATGGTTCGATGGGTCTCTGGGAAGTCACAGAGGATGTGTTGTCCAAAAGTGATGCCAGGCATAACCTCTCTCAAGTTCCTGTCTATGCCCACATAACACACAGTGCTCTGAAGGACATCCCCAAGGAGAACACCAATCCTGACAACTGCAAAGTCCGAGCATTGGCCTTCAACAATAAGAACAAGGTCAGTAAGATGAGTAAGACAGTTGAGAAGTCCCAAAACTGTCCCCATGTATTAGAAAAAGAAAAAGTAATCTAAATTGAATGTACTGGAGAAGCAAGCTAATATTTTTTTTCTCTGATCCTTTTGCATTCTTGTCTTCACCTGCTATGTTTGCTTCTGTCCCAAATGAATGGAGGAATCCAGGAGGAAAAAAAAAAAGAGATGTTTTCAGAAGGCACAATTTTCCCATGGGTTTGATTAGGATGCCTGCAGGCATCCTAAGCAGGGGAGACAAGGAGTATTTGCAAGAAGCAAATAAAATGCCAAAACACCTCTTGCAGCTTGAATCCTCAATTCTTGAGTGCTCTTGCTGCTTTCCTTCCCCCTTTGTGAAGCAGTTCCTGTTTTGATGGTTGAATCCTTTCTGGATTGCTCGGCAGGTGAGGTGCCTGACTCACAGGGCAGGCACCAGTGCTTGCTTTGGTGTGATTTTGTTGGTGTTTGGCAAATGCTAAACGCTAACCTCCCCCATGCTAATCTCCCGTTATTACTAGTGGGAGTAGCAGTTCATCCTCCCCCGCTTTTGTTTTTCCTGCCCTCAAAGAACAGAGAAGGTCTGAAGCAAAGGTGAGTGTGCTCTCAGAAGCACAGTGCTCATTGTAGGCTGTATTTTTCACAGTAGCTACTTTAGTTAGTTACTACTCTGGGGTGGAAATTTCATGTACCTTTTTCATTATAGTACCTATAATTCTTCAGGGTTGGAATCAATGTGGGACCTGCTGAAGAGAGACGTCACCTCTAGCTTGTACTGTCTAATAACACATTATTTAATTTTCTAACAACATTTACAGCTTTGAAAGTTGCTATTTCTTATTTACTCTTTTATTAATTGTTATTCTACCTGGCATCTTTGTACTGTATTGTGTTCTCTAAAGAACACTATAAAATGAAAATGTATCTTGATAAAGCCTGTACAGGACTGTGGATGAGTTCAGTCCAGAGTGTGCAACTTGCGTAGTTGAGAATGAGTTTATAAGGACATCTGTAATACAGAAACTAACTCTTTTTTTTTTTTCTTTCTCCTTTTAATAGGAGCTGGGAGCAGTGTCCCTGGATGGGTATTTTCATCTTTGGAAAGCAGAGCTCACACTATCAAAGGTACTTTTCTGTTTGTTCAGATAAGGCACCCCAGTGCTTTCAGGTTTTTTTTTTCCTCTGGGTCAGGTTATATTTTTGCAGTCAACTTATTTTTCAGCTGCATTTGGGTTTTTTTTCACTGCAACTTCCTTGAACGTAGCTTACAGTATTGTTCTATTAACATCCTACTCTTGTAACGGATTGATTTTTATATTTTCTCTTTCCAGTTACTTTCCACAAAGTTGCCATACTGCAGGGAGAACGTGTGTTTGGCTTATGGTCAGGAGTGGTCAGTGTATGCAGTAGGATCACAGGCACATGTCTCGTTTCTGGACCCGAGGCAACCTTCCCACAATGTTAAATCCGTCTGTTCCAAAGAACGAGGCAGTGGTAAGAAACCTGTCAAAAAGTGCTTCAAATTATTTTCTTGCAGAAGTAGCTGTTAAGACTGCAGTAAGTCAAGCTTTTAATTAACAGGAAGGGTTTTTCCTGTGACAGGCTAAATAACTAATACTGTGTATATATATAGGTTTTGCTTTTACGACAGTGTTCCACGAGCAACCAACACTAGATGTGACAGCAGCTCTGAAATCTAAGGAAGGGCAATATCAGTGCCTTTATTATCAACTAAATTGTAACCCATTTGAATGTTACTGGACTTTTAAAAGTGCACGTTTTACTTCAGCATATTTTTAACTGTGTCTTATTCTATTTTAATTCATCTAGGACCAAATCTAGTCTTTTTGCCACTCTTTATACTGTTCTTGCATTTTTCTCTGGGAATTAAAAAAGAAGGCATGTTGTCTGCTCTCTGCTAACGTATTGGGAGTCTGTGCTGTGAGGGAACCCTTGCTTTGTAATTTTAAAACTGTGAGTGAGACTCCTGATTTTCAATGTAATTTGAGTGCTGTTTCTTTTTCTCATGTGAAGGCATTGTGTGCAATTGAACCTTTCACCTGAGGGCTTTCAGGGTCCTTGGTTCCATAAACTTCATACCATACCCTTAATTATTGGGCATGAGAAGGCACTGTGCCATATTAATCCCAGACTAATAAGTTACAGTCCTTATATAGCTTGGCTCTGGGCATCCATCTCTTCCTCGGGCAAGTTACCAGAAGAAGATGTATGTGGGCAAGGATATAGGAAAATTTTACATACGTAGTTACAGAACAGTGTTGTCTAGATCACTGTCAGGGTCTGTTTCTTTCACATGCGGGAGAAGTATCTGTCACGTCAGGAAAGGTCACCTCACACATCTTACCAGCAACGCTCCTTGTCCTGACCTGCTGCCAGTGGTGGCTGAAAGATTCTGGCTTGAGTATGTAACCATCCCTGCTGGGGGGATAATTTGTGTGTAGGGAGTATCTCTAGGGCATCTCTAGTTCATGTCTGGAGGAAACCTTTTTGTTCATGTCTGGAGGAAGTGCTGTTTCCTGTGCTGCATAGTAGCTGGATCTTTTTATTCGGTTTGGTGGCGGAGGCACATAAATAACAGACATTCCCAAGATACTGAGGGTTTCAACTTTCTGTCGATCTCCCTGGGGCTTGGAATGGTGCAGCACGTCTGGAGAACGGGCTTTTTATTGATTTGTGGAATAAAATCTGACTTCAAGTGATTTGAAGTAGTACCTGAATGTGCTTTAAGTTTCCAAGAGCACCTGGTGATTGTGGTAAGTTCATTCAGTTCATTACTGTTGTACACAAAAGCAGGTCAGAGAAAGGTTGTGGCTTAGCAAGACTGGAACTGGAGCTGATTTTCCCTGTTGAACCCTGTCTGTTTTACATGAGGAGGCAGTGAATGCTTTTTAGTGCATCTTGTAAGTGTTGCTTTTCTTAGAGCTGTACAGGGAAGTGCAGGCCCTGGACTGTGGGTCTTGATCCACAAGCTGCTCTCTGCTCATGTGGCAGAGCAGTGTCCTGTGCTCTTGACTTCATGTCCTGCAGGCAGCAGTGCTAATGCAGCTGAGGGAGCTGGGGTTGTTTAGCCTGGAGAAGAGAAGGCTCAGGGGAGACCTCATGACTCTCTACAACTTCCTGAAAGGAGGTTGTAGCCAGGTGGGGGTTGGTCTCTTTTTCCAGGCAGCTATCAGACAAGCTCTGCCAGGCGAGGTTTAGGTTGGATATTAGGAAGAAATTCTTTACAGAGAGAGTAATCAGGCATTGGAACGGGCTGCCCAGGGAGGTGGTGGATTCACCATCCCTGGAGGTGTTTAAGAAGAGACTGGATGAGGCACTTTGTGCCATAGTCTAGTTACTGTGGTGGTAGTGTATCAAGGGTTGGACTTGATGATCTCAGAGGTCCTTTCCAACCCATCTGATTCTGTGATTCTATGACTCTGTGTCTGCTGCCTGTGTAGGACACGCCACCGCATCTGCATTTCCTTCTGGGATCTGCCACTTAAGAGTGGGGCTGGATTTGCTGACCTAAATAGCCCAGGTCCACAGGTGGTAGAGTGCTGAGAATGCAGGAGAGCTTACTGTGATCGGTTCTAGGCACAGGTTGTGCTTTTAGTCTGATAGGAATTGTTATTCTGGGGTACTTCAGCCCCTTAGGAGCCAATTTGAAGAGCTGTTTTTGAAAGCCTGTTCTAAATATCCTATTAGCAGTGGGTACATCACTTAAATTTTTTTGGTTAGAGAAATATCCACAGGTATTCTTCATTTTACAGCTTTTTATTAACAAATTTCATTGAAAAGGGTATGCCATTTGCCTTCATACTCCATCACCTGTTTCTGTGAAGTAAGTGTTCTTCTGGTTTGCTTGTCAAGAGCACTTCTGAAGCAAAAACAAGAGGAAGTCCACTCTTATGCCTTTCTCCTTTTGTCTAAGTGACTGCTCCTGCTGATTGCGGAGGGCTTGAAGTGTGTTTGCCAGAGCCAGGCTCATGTGCTAGGGGTGGGGGGAGGAAGTCTGCAGCTTGCTCAGGTGCATTTGTAATTCTCTGAGTTAAAGTGGAGATTCTGACATGAATCTGGTAAATCTCCTTCAGCAGGTGTGACTTGCACAGTAGTTTACTTACTAAACCTGCAGCCAAGACTTCACCTCATACCTGGAGCAGGACAGTGTGGCCATACCTGTTCTAAGTGTGTGTCATGGGTGCTGGTGCCTGTGGATGTAACATCAGACTGGGGAGGCAGAAGGATGAGGATGTGTTTTTAGTTAGGATTCTCTACAGAGGGGAGGGGGGAACTCCCTGGATGTATATGCAGCTCCCAGGTGTCATCTGTCCCATGCGCTGCTTGATGTATTCCAGGATGTTACAAGCTCAGCCCCACTTGGTACAGTGACATTTGGCACGTGGATATAGCTGGCAGAACTCACTCTTTTCCCCTCCTGTTTCGATGCTTCTTTAGGCTGTAATTCAGTGGTACTTCAAAGGGGCTTAAAAAGCCCTAGGGTTTTTAACCTGGCATTACACTGTGCAGGAAGGAGAAGCGCAGATCTGATGGCGTTTAATCTGCACTGAAGAGTTGTTTGGAGTAGAGTCCTTGCACAGAACAAACCTTTTTGCACAATAAATAATGATGAGAGGATTCTTTGGAAATTGCAGATTCCTACATACAGAACAAAGGTGCTCTTGACCCTAAACGGCTTATCTGGCAGAGCTACGGCCTGTTGAAGGTGAAGGTTCTTACTGTGTCCCCTCGGTGTGGCCAGTGGCCTCCGAGGAGCAGGGCATTAGTGTGTGTCATCAAAGCTGCTGTTTCAGCAGTATCAGTGGGATCTGTCTGCTCTGCTCCGTAGCAGTTGTGGAGAACACTAGAAGGTAGTGTTAGACATGAAACAACAGCCCTGCAGAGCCAAAGCATCCCTCTCCCTTACTGCTCTGTCTGTCCCTTCTCTGTTTGACAGGTATCCGGTCGGTGAGCTTCTACGAGCACATCATCACCGTGGGAACGGGGCAAGGCTCCCTGTTGTTCTACGATATCAGAGCCCAGAGGTTCCTGGATGAAAAGCCCCCCCGTGCCTGCTATGGATCAAAGCAAAAATTAGGAGGAGGTGAAATTTTGAAGTTGACAACTGGGAAAGGCTGGCTGGTGAGTAGGTTGTAACTGTAGTAGACCCTTTACACAGGAATACCGTAGGGCTTGAGCCTGTTCTTCTTGTGATAACGGGAGCTGTGGTGTGAAATGTGCCCCAGTCAAACAGGGATCATGTAACCAATAACTAAGAATGAAAAGCAAGAAGTGCTGCAGAATTGCTTTCTACAAAAGCTTTAGGAAGGGGTACTGAAGGTTAAATGCCTGAGTGTGAGGCATACTGACTACTGTTCTTATGCACTGATTCATAGGTGAACTAGATTTTATGTTTTTATATTTTCAAAGGTAATCTAACTCCTAATTTTCAGAACCTCAAACAGAAATGGTCTTCCTTTAAAGCCATGCTAATCTAATGTGGTACTCAGAGCAAGAGAGATTAAATTTAATTGTGTGCAGTTTTAGAAACTGTGGCTTCCTGAGGTAATGCTGTGGCAGGCACTTGAGTTCAGTTTCCTATATGTTATCATAAAGCAGTTAATGGCTTTGCTTAACTTAGCTCCATTACCTTTTATATCATTTTGATGTGCCTACCCTTCACCTCCCTCTTTCAATGCTTGGCCTAAATGTCCTCAGAAAAAGCTTCAGGACAACTCTGATATCTTTTAGTTGATCTATATGAAGCTTCAGGAACATTCAGAGGAAATACCTGATTTTGGGCTCTGGAAGATACTTTCTGCTTTTGTGAAACAGGGTTTGGAGTTTGTTTGGCAACAATAATGATCTAAACTTTCCTTTAACAGAACCATGATGAAACCTGGAGGAATTATTTTTCTGATATAAATTACTTCCCAAATGCTGTTTACACCCACTGCTACGACTCGTCTGGAACGAAACTCTTTGTGGCAGGAGGCCCCCTTCCATCAGGACTTCATGGGAATTACGCTGGTCTCTGGAGCTAATGATAACTCTTCATAAATGCTGATCTTTACACAGATTTCCACTTTTCTTTTCCTTTTTTTAACAACAAAATTGTGTGATGCCATTGATCCCTGATTTAAGCGCAAGTTATTTTTTGGCAGAGTTTTCTGTTGGTCTCCAACAGTTTTGTACATCTTTTTGAACCGATTTTTTGCTTTAACCTCCTTGATCCTTTATATGAAGGGGTTTTGAAGTCCTTTTTTTATTGTAATTACTCCAAATGACTCTTTCCCCCCCATTTAGGGTGTCTTGGCCATGTGCCCCCTCCCCTACTTTGCTGTGAGGTAGGATTCCTTTCTTACAGAGTGGTTGCTCCTGGGCTTTCTGTGAAAGTCTTGGGGCTGTGTGTGTGCAGGTACTTCGTGTCAGTTACATTACCTGGAGTGAGGACTACTTGTAATTAAAAAATATTAAAAGTATTTATAAGAGATAAGCTACTACTTTATCTGCAGAGCCTGGCCCTGGCCTGGATTGATCTTATTTTTTAAAAGTACAAGTCTAATGACACTGTTTTTACGTAGAGTGATATGGTTATTTTAAGCTGTACTCACTGGAGCCCAGGCACAGATTCCCCCAGGGTATTGCCCATCATGTCCAAAGTGCAGGAGTTCTAAAAAGTGCATTTGTATTTGAATGGTAGTTTTCAACAGTGCCAGGAGCAAAAACTGATCTTTTGTTTCTTCACTGCCTGTCCCAGGTATCAGCTTTTGCGCAGCTGGAGTTTGCAAAGGCTGTTCTGCAGCGTGGCTGTTGCAGGGTGAGGTTACGTTGAGAGCTGCAGAGGTGCTGAGGGGAAATGGGGGCTGCTTATTCAAAATGAACTAAATCTTATCTGTTTTCCAGATGAGCCATGGTTTCTGACTATGCTGTTGGGGTAGCTCATGAGCTTTTCCTAAACTGCCTAAAACCCAGGACCTTTTTTTATACCAGGTTCTGGAAATTTTTCCTGTTTTTGTTGTTCCGGTTGGCCATCTGCTCTAATAAGCCAATGAAATAAATAAACTAATTTTTTTTCTACAAGATTAAAGAGTGCATCTTGGACTTAACTAATGCAAGTGTGAAGCTTTCCATGTAGGAGGATAGCTCGATGTCAGCCCACGTTGTGCCGCATATACTGTAGGAGAGGCTCAGCCTTTCCCCGAATCCCCTGCTGCCTTCTGCTTCCAGGCTCCCGTGAACTTCACGTGGGACTGGGAAGGGAGAACAGCTCCAGTGCCCTTCAGGTTCAGCTGTGAAGCGTGTGCATCCCAGAGTGATGGTCTTACTCAATACCCAGCTAAAGTGCAGGTCTCCAGGTGCTCCTCCTTTTGGCAGGCACCAGACTCTCAGCTTGTTATTGATGCCTCTCTCCTCTGCTGGGATGAATGCCTTTCCCCTGGCACCGGTGAAGCAAAGTGTGCCTGGACCTCACTGCTTTGGTGACAAACAGGGAGTTGGCTGAAGCTGAGGGGAAAGACAAGGTTGGGACATGCTCTGCTCTCCTGTCTCTGTGGAGATCACAGAGTTCCTGCTGACAGCCCAGAGCCTGTACTTTGTCTTTGCAGTCCCTCTTGTCTTCATACTCAGTATCTTCTTCAGTAATTCCAAGCAGTGAGCCTCAGGCTTAATTTCCAGTTGGCAAGGAGACCTGCATGGAAATCCTGCAAAGAATGCAGTTCCCTCCCGTCCGGCTGGAAAGCCTGGCAAGAGAAGAGCTCTCTCCCAGATGTGCACCTGTCCCAGAAGTGTAATTTACACTGAGCACTGATACAGGTGCTTCACAAACACATCATCTTCCAGTGTTTCATAGTGGTACTTCCCTTGTGGGCTGGTTGCTTAAGCTGCAGCAGTTCACGGTGCTGTGTGTTCAGCTAGCCAGGCTTTTCTCCAAAGAGGGCAAATTATATACCATGGGGTAGTCAAGAGTTAGGGTTGCACATTTTCCTTGGAGTTGTTCATCGTTTCATTTTAAAGGTGTCATAATGGTGCCTGTGTTGTTCTTTCGTGGCAGCTTACTCCTTTGGATATTTTTTGGTTTAAAAAAGTGAAAGTATACAAAGAAAAACAAGTCTTGGTCAAGTATGGCAGGATTTGTATTTCTTGGATTACTCCTGCAACTACTGTGTAAGATCACTCTGTTATAGGGAACATGTTCTGCTTTTTTTATTGAGCTTGGTTTGAAGATCACTGTTATAGGGAACATGTTCTGCTTTTTTTATTGAGCTTGGTTTGAAGTTTGTTTTGTTTTGTTTTTCTAAAGAAGCTAGACAGTTGAGTCTACTTGACTGTCCTCCAGAAAACAACAACAGAAAATAGATAGGCACTTCATGTCTACAGTGCCAAAGGACAGCTCCTGGTTTGGAAATTCTAGCCCTGATATTGATCTGTTGATTGAAGCATATTCCAGGTCATGATGAGGGGGAAGAAAAGGTATTTGAATGGACAGAACTTCAGCCTTCAAACATGGAGGCCACTTTTTCTGCAGTCTCTAAGCTACTGAGGAGGCACCACTGGAAATTGTCCCTCCTTGCTGACTCTGATCTCCACAAGTACCTCGATATGTGGTCTTGAGCCTGGTATTCTGAGTGCCCTCTTCCTCCTTTTTTTTTCTGCCCTGGAAAGATCTCAGAGAGATCTGGACAATGATGTAAAATTCCTCTAGTCTCACATGTTTCTGCTTTCAGGGCTCTTTCTTGTCAAGGTAACTTCTCATGGGAAGGGAACCATCTTTGTTGCTGTATGAATATCCCCCCAAAAAGGGAAACAAAGTAGGTGACGCTGGTAGCACACAAGCAAATTGGGCCTGAAAAATCTTAATTTCTAGCATGTTTCAGTGGTTTTAAATGCTTATAGCAATACAGATGTTGAGTTTTAGAATATTTTGTGGTCGGTCACAAATTTTGTTCCAATCAGTGTTAGAAATTGAGGCAGAGAAAGGTGATGTGCTCAAGACCTTCAGTTTGCCTAAACTGGGTAGAAGTTGGAGGCTGGGTCAGACTTGGGAACTGGGCAGTTGTCCTTGTACTTCTTTCACTGATGGGATTACACAGTGACAGTCTGTTCCTTGGAGGGAAGACACTCTGGTTTATCTCATCTGAAGGAAAGAAAAGAACTTAAATCATAACATGCCTTCAAACCCGCTGCTATTGACTTCTCAGTCATATGGGATCTTCTGTGCTGCTGCTCAGCTTTTTTCAGTAGACTACCATGTTAATTTGGGTATCTTTGGGTATTGTATTTTCAGTATTCGTAATAACAGGTAATCAAACCAGTGACTAAATTATGGGTTTGGTAATACCTGGCTTGTGAGCACTGGGTAGCAACTCCTCAGTAACAGCTGGGTGTTATGTGATGGGACATTCCTGAGGAATCAGAGGCTCCTTTGCAATGTTGGCTTGAGCACAGCAATGAGGATGGTGCTCTCCCTCTTCACCAAACACCTTATTCCTGTAATTCCTCCAGCTTTCTCCCTTGTACAGTCAAGTCTGCTCGGGAGAACTGCTGGTGCTCTCCTCTGGCGCTTACTGGGATTGCAGTAAAGAAGTGAGTCCATTTGTTCAGTTCCTTCATCAGTGCTGCTGATGTTAGTTCAAGGTGAGTAAATTACCAAAGAATAGTTAGTAGGTGTTTGTTCCTAGTCTCAGTTGTTAACTTTCCTCATAGATCCATTTTTAAGATCATTGGTAGAGTACCCAGTGATCTTGCTGGATTTAGTCAGTCCACAAAGGTTACATCATATTGTGGGTGACTCCTGTGACTCTCTTCATGAAGGGAGCTCCTGAACTACATTGTGAGGTTTATATTTGCTGCCTCCATTTCAGGTCTTTGGCAGCTTTTTATATCTCAAGGATTAAGATACTTGGGGATCGTTCTCCTCCAGAATTTCATCCTCTTCCTTCACCAGAGTGCTTGCTTTGTATATAGCTTGCAGCTGCAGAGTTAACAGATTAAAAGTTATGATCTAGCTATGTTGAGTGGTGCTTTGGTGTCTTAATTTCTGCCCCTCAGTTGAGAGGCACTTCCAGACCTTGTGAACTGCTGTCCCTCACCTGGTGCAGGTGGGAAACAAAGCTGGCTTGCCTAGACCCTTCACAGAGGTCACCTCTTTGCTTTGTTTGCAAGAAACCAAGAGCAGGTGGGCTGTCAGTTGCACCTTGGAAAAGCAACATTGTCTTTCAGCAGCCAGGTGGGAGCTCTGAGGTCTGTTTGTGGTGGTCTGATACCCTTATTTTCCGTAAACCCACTTTTCCAAGGTGTCTGATATATTCTTAATTCTTTTTCAATTGCTGCTATGACTGAATTACTGGACTGGGGTACAGCTTGTTCCTAAGGAACACATGCAGAGCTGTGTGTGGTGCAGGGGGAGCTGATCCTCTGACCAGCCTGTGCTGAGCCTGGGACTCCTGTCCATGCCAGGCTCGTGCTTTCTACTTAAAGCCAAGTGAAAATCCCTGTGTGCCCCACTGGCCATCCCACAGTCTGAGCCTGTGGTGTGACCTCAACTTAAAATGCCTTTCTGACTGTTGCAGTGCCTCAGTAACTTGTTTGAAAGTCTCTGAAGCACAGGCACCCAGAACAAGGTAGAGTGGAAAGGAGAGCACAGCCACATCTTGTATGAAGGAATCTCTGCCTGCACGTGCTCTCCTTTGCCCCTTCAGGTGAGCACTTTGTGTGGTGAGGGGGCACCAGAGAAATAGTGAAAGGCAAACTGCTTGGTATGGCTTCTGGGATGCCAGAGGAATTTAAAAACACAGAGGGGATACCTGAAAGGGCTGAATCAGAAACATCTCCAGAGAGATCAAATATATTTCCCTGTCATTCTTGTTTCAGTGCTAAATGTAGGACATATCTTTTTGCTTGTGGTTGCTGGGTTAGTTTAGGAAAACCATATGGTGGTTGGCTACTTAAAAGAACGCTCTTGCAGAAAGAAATCTTCCCATTTCATAACAGCCTTTTCCATTAGTATCCTGCTGGGAGCGGTATGGTCTAAGAAAGTGCACACAGGGTTGGGAGAGTTGGTAAAATCCGAGCTGCCTGACTGTGTACCCAAAAAAAACCACCAACCCTTGATTGTATACAAATTGTGGTCGTTGGACTGAAACTGAGAGGGTGTATACAAACTTTTGCAATGCAGTGCAATGTCTCTAGTCCTAGACGTTGATTCTTTTGCCTTCAGGACAAAAATCTAGAAGTCAATACATTGATTTCTTAGGAACTGCTTTTCTAGATTCCCTTACTAAAAGGGAAAATTCAGGTGCTGAATTTTATCTCATTAAACTTGTACTTTTTATTTGCCCATCCACCTGGTCTCTCTTCATTTCCAAGGCCTCCCACAGTCTCAGGGTATATAAATCACTATGACTCATCCAAATAGTACCTAAATGGACCAACCAGAGGTTAATGTGCCTTCCTCTTCTGGTACCTTGATCTTTGTGAGGTTATCTCACAGACTTGTCCCTGTCCTAGGGCTGGGTACGTGCATTGTCTTTTTCTAAGATGTGCGTGTTGAAATTGCAACAGGTTTGTACTGTTACTTGTGACTTGTTCCCTTTGTGTTAGGATGTGTAGACACAAATCAACGCACTGGTTGGTCTCATATCAGTCTTACCAGTGACATCTGTCAGTGCTTGCTTGTTGTGCTCATGTGTACACTAATGCTGGATCTTCCCCACTGCACGTGGTGCATATCATGCACAGAATACACAAGGTGTTATAAAATGTGCACTGATCACAACTTGATGCCCGAGGGTAGGATTTCCTACAGTGAACTGTTTTTAATGTTTGGGGTTCTTTTTCCCCCAAATACATGTGATAAGATCCAAAGCCTTGAGGGGGGGGAGGCGATGGAAATCAAGACTTGCTGATACTTGCTGGCTTTTGGTCTGAATGCAGGGTCTGATGTTTGTTAACAACTCCTGCAAATCAATCCATCTAACAGAGCCTTTCTCAGCTTGTTTCTGTATTGAGCTGTGTCAGAAATGATGCTGGATCCTAAACTATCCCAGAAGCTGTCAAGTGAAATAGTAACAGCTCTCTTCAAATATTACAGTGCACCTTTTTAACTGTAAGATAAAACTATTAGAAGTTATGATGCAGCTTGCAAATGGAACAGTGGGAAATTGCAGATGGCATGTGCTACCAACCTGTCTGCACATCGGGCTTAGTGTTCTGTTACCCTGCAAATTGTTTCTTCTCTCTGAAAAGTGAAATTTTTTTTTAATTTTTTTTTTAATAGAAAGATATTACACTTTTGGCTTAGTTTTCTAAGGATATCTTTGTTAAAAGCCTCAAACCAACATCTGGAATTTGGACTGAGTTTCCATCTCTTAAGCAGATGGTGCAATTGATATGTTATGTCTCATAAGAACATGGAAACAGGAACACGTCCACACTCACTGTGGCCTTCCACGGGCATGCCTATCCATAATTAACTGAATTACAGCACTGCACTCTTGATACATGAGGACACCTTTGTATTTAGAATCAGCACGATTAGTCATCGGTGCATTGACATTAATACATGGTCATGGAGCTCCAAGGTATGTGTATTTCCTGTGCTGACTGCATCTGCTCTCTCTGTAACCCAGTGCAGACTTACTCTGGAGTTCTCTTTTTGCTGCTTGGTAACTTCAGAGTTTCTTTAAATTCTATGTTTATGACAGTAACTTTTCAGAGTAGAACAGATGGATTTAACTTTGTTTTCTATTTTAAGCATCTTCCTCTTCTCCCATTTCTTCCTAGTTCACCTGTAACAGTCAATTCAAAGCTGTCTGCCTACTCTGAAAATTATCAATCCATAAAAAAAAGAAAACCTATAGCCCAACACGGAAGGATCACTCTGTGCTTTTGCCATAAACTTGCGTGGCTGGCTGCCTGCCTTGCAAGTGGAGACTCCACCGCTGCACAGGCTGCAGAAGCTGAAATTCTCTTGCATCCATGTAGTTTGGTGGATCAGGAAACGGAGGTGCCCTGCATCTGCACCCAAGTGAGTTTGTCAAACTGATCCATAGTGGTTTAGCCAGAGAACTGGCACTTTTGGCTGCTACTCAAAGAACTAAAGGTTTCAGTGAGGGCAAAGCCAGGAGGATGAATTGCTGACTTGATCCTATTTAAAGGCTTTCTCCACAGATTTTTTTTTTTTTTGGTCTTTTGCATAGTTGGTGGATTATAAAAGAGTAGGGTATGACCTAAATAATAACCCTGTGCTCAAAAGTTATTCTAATGAACTTTGGCCAGCGGTAATGCCACAGGCTGGCTACGCTCAGAGGTGAGCTGGCAATGGAGTGTTTGAAGGGTAGGCCTTGAGGGTTTGCTCCATTATGCCTTACATCACTGCAGATTAGTTGCTCCCAGAGCTGTCAAAACTCATGTTCATCCCTCTTGATGTGAGGAGTGAAGCTGCATGGGGAAGAACCTGTTCCCCCAGTGGTCACTCAGTCTTCCCCTCAACGCTCAAGGTTACCAGTGCACTTGTCTCTGTTTTCATGACTGACTGTGACTAATGTGCCTCATAGCTGCCACCAGGCACCTCCATGTGCTTCATGCTGGGATGATGGAGTGGAAGGGCCTTGTCTGCATCGTCCTCCCCCTGCTGGTTGTTGACATTGCAAGGGTATAACAGGCCAGCTGGGATTTACGGCTTCAGCTGGTTGCTCTGGGCGTCTTTCACAGTGTGATATGGGGCCATTATGAAAAGGACTGGATAAGTGACTTTGAATGGGCTCTGTCCCTTTTGTTCAAAATGCTGTCTCCAGTCTTGGCCTCTCATCCCAGACTCACATCTTGCCTGGGACTTGAGCAAGTTCCCTTGTCCTCTCATGATTTACTAGTTCAGGTACCAGTTCTGCAAAGCCTGGGGGTACCTGTTAGAACCCTACTACAGTCTGAAACTTCTACACTTGCTTAGGCAGTGGCTCACTGAACGGGGACCTTGCTCATAGTCTCCCTACTCATTTTACTCAGCTCTAGATATCTTCCTGGACTGCCATTCCCCTTTCAGTCTGAAAGGGTTTGCTCCAAGGTCATTCCTGCTCTGGGAAGGAGTTGATTCCTGTACTGCTGGTCATTGCACTTTGGTGGCTTTTACTTTTCTCGGTTTTATTCTGGGGTTCACTGCAAATGTACAAAACCATTCTGACTTCTTCAACCTGTGAGGCATCATAATTATTTTTCTACTCCCAAAATGCACAGAAACAAAGATCTCTTAGACAAGTTTTAAGGAGGAAAAGCAGCTGCATACACATAAGTAGAAAGGTATCTCTGGGTAGAATAGGTGAGGGAGCAGTTTAAGAATTTTAAGTGTAAGAATAGTGATGGATTTTTTTTGTTTCTTTTATAAAAGTTCCTTTAACAGGAGGTTAGGTGGTGTTTTAATCCACAGAAAGTTGCAATGTAAACCGGGGTTTTTTGTTCATCAATGCAAAATGTGCCTCTCAACTATAATGCAAAGTCAGTCTCTCACTGTCTGCAGTGACAGCAGTTTAACTGAAGACTGATTTAATGTGTTTCTTGCTCTTATGTGTAATCCTCCATACAACAGTCCTTGCTGGTCTTTCCCAAGCACTATTCAGCACTATCCCTATTTGAAAGCAAAACAGGCCTTGTGTTGAGCAGTGTAACCTGATGAACTTCCGTGGTTTGAGAGAGACACTGAAGAGAAGAGTCCAGGTTCCATGTGTTTTAATACAACTTTAAACCAGTGCAGCTATTCTCTCAGACCAGCACCGCTTCCTGCCTTTCCCTCCATTTAGATGGGAATCTAAAAGTAAATCAAGCAATACCTGACCCAATTAATGAGCTTGCAGGTGGAACATGGGGGTTTTTTTTAAATTTGAAGACTGATATTTCTCTTCTGCAAGAACTTGTCCTGGGTGCAAGAGCTTGGATCTCAGATTACAGCTCTTCTACCAGCTTGTTACATGCAATTAAGTATTCCTTCTGAAGAGGACTGTGGAAAAGCTGTGAAGGTGTAGACTGGAACTGATAATTTTAGGTTATCTGTGTGTTGCTTGACTACATGGACAATATAACAGTGATTTTTTTTTTTCCATGTGTCAGTCACAAATAATTCTTAATTTGCTGTTTGGAGGAAAACTGCTAATAGATAAGTTTCCAGATCAAATTATGAGCCTAATTTTCCCTCTTGCATAACCGGGTTACTGTGTTCACATGCCAGAAAGATGTTGCTCTTTGAAAAAGCATGTTTGTGTATGTGGCAATGCCCCATGCACTTTTTAAATACCTAGATCTGTACCTTCTCATCTGAGTATTGTTAACCACGCTGTAGTCTGACCAATGGATCTTTTACTACTGCCCTGTTATATAGATAATTGTAATTCACTGCAGTTTGGTTTTTTCCACTTCTTGAAGTTGCGTGATCTGAAAATTGGTGAACAGAAAGTATTTGTGCATCTTACTATGGGTATCTCTAAATAAAATGTATTTGTATAGTGTGTTGGCTTGGCTGATGGTTTCCTTTATTTGGTAATCATCCCATGACAAGTAAATCCAGGGCAGTTTGAGAGCAAGTGGGCTTGGGTTTCTTACTTTAACAGTCCAGCCTCTGTGTGGACATGACTGATTCAAAGGAAACACAGTGAACTGTTGTTTTTCCTTCACCAGTGAGTGGATTGATATCCTGAGTACAGATTCTCAGCTTATTCTTGTTTTTGTTCATGACTTAAACATCAGTCCTTGTTCTCTGTACAGCTGCAGTAACCCTCCTTACTTCCACAGGAAATCTATCTAGTAGCAAAGTTGGGACTGTTACACTTCAAAGCATCTCCTTCCTGTTCTCTTCATCTGGTACCTCATTTGTTTTGAGGCAAGAGTTTTCTTCCAACCTCTTTATTTTTCTGACAAGGAAATACCTCTTAGGAGCATTGGACATCACAGATAACCTGTAGCTGGAGAGTCAGGTAAGTGTTCCAGGAAGACCTTGCATCCCAAAACTGCATCTGTAGCACTTCCACATACTTTCACTGTACAGGAGAGTGAGGCCTTTGTACAGCTGTCTTATTTCACTGCTGTAAGTGAGCAAGTTATGTTTTGAGAGGAATGTCCTTAAGAGATCTAAGTTTAATGCTGGAAGTTGAAATCCTGTGCCTAAAATCAGCTTTTACATCCCCATCTTCACCCTTGGCCTCATTCTGAGTGGCTGGTTTCCATGGTTGTGGACAAACTGCAGCTTTGTAAGCAAGCTGTGGAAGATCATGTTCCCAACTACACCATCTCTGCTCCCAGCAGCAGGCATTACTGATGCTTGTGGATGGAAGAGGAGGCATAAGAACACTATACTGTCATTCTACTGAGCCTTATAACAAAACTATTTGAGAACTGAGAGATGCAAAGAAAAAACAAATCCACTGGCCCTGGAGACAGAGAGTTAGAGAGGGCCCTGGCAACCAGGGGTACTAACTCCCCACCTGCCTCAGATGTTCCATTGAGTACAGCATTCAGATGATGAGGGGCCTGTCAGGACCAAAAATGACCTCACAAAGTACCAAGGCAGTTGATACTCATTGAGCTCCTCTTACACGTGTGTCCAGCTTAAATCTCAGCAAGAGTCTAAATTCTCCCCCAGCAACTTTTAGCATTCATCTATTTTGTCCCCTCACCTGCCTTGCAGGCCCCCTTGCTTTCCCATTTGCAGTGCAGAGGAAGCAGTTTGCTCCCTTCTGTGAGGCAGCTCACCTCTTGTTTTTTGGAAGGGATATTTAGCTATTTCATGGCCATGGTCTTCACTCCTTATACCACACAGTCCAGGTGTGCTTTCTCACTGGCCATACTTGACATGTGCGTGTGTGGCCATCATCATTCCTGCCTGTGTTACCAGGATGCGATCCATTGCACTCCCTGGCCTGGAGCCTGGAGCAGGACAAAACTTACCAACTGCTTTCACTGAGCACCACAAACATGTGGCAGAGGACATTACCCTTTCAACACTCAATCTGCTGTCTGCCTCCCCTTCCCAGCCCAGCTGCTGCAGGTTTGCTTGCCTGTCATCACTTCCCTTCTTGGGTGTATTTTGGTTTTGATCTCTTTGACTTGGGGCCTCAGCTCTTGCCAGCTGGTGGCACCGCTGTTGCAGAATGAGGAAGACAAACCAGGGAATGGTTTCATACCATTCTGTTCTTCCTAGTCATAGCTGTACTCATCCTATCTGTTTCTGAATGGAGGATTGGGATAGTCTTTCCCAATGCAAGGTTCTTCCATGGTCCAGTAAATGAATTAATAAATGAAGACATACCAGGGACACAGTGCTTGTCTGAACTGCTTTTTGGGCAGGGGTGGCCTATTCTTTCGGAGATTGAAAATGAGAAATTTCACAATGTATTAGAAAACAAGAATCTCCATGGTTGTGACCCAACTTCCTCAGTCCCCCTTAAGCCTTCTCACTTGGAGGAACAAATGTGAGGGAGGGCTTCAGCCCCCTGCAAGGCTCAAGAGACCATGTGGCCAACATGGCATTTGGGAGCTTCAGGTCAGCTGCTCCGAAGTACTGCCCTGCACGGAGGGTCTTATGTTCCCTCTTCATTAAGGTGTAGCAGGAGCTGGGAGAGGTGGGAGAGAAGCCATGGGCCTCAAGTGCAGAGCTGAGGTCAAAAGGTCAACTGGACATTTGCTCAAACTGTGCCACAGAGATAAACAGAGTGAGGGCCATGCTGCAGGGATGCTGAAGCATCAGCAGAATGATTTGTAGCCCCTGTCCTCAGTGCCTGTGAGTTTTTTTTAACTCGTGTCAAAGGTTTCCTTTTGTTCCAGGAGATTCTTCTCTCTACAAACCCACTGCCATGCCTGTGAAGAACACAGATTCAGCTACAATAGAAATTTCACGGATTTTAGACAACTGGAAAAAATGTGGCCAAATTTAAGGCTGCCTTTGGAAGACAGGCAGACAGGCACTGTTGCTGTAAAACTCCTCCCAGTACAGCTGCTGTTTACTAGACAAGTACTCACTTAGGGAGAAGCACGGGCCACTTTCTCCAGGTATCTGAGGCCCGAGAAAGGTCTTGGAGCCAAAAGGGTGACCAGTGAGGAATAGTTGGTGAGCACTAAGGAAAACACCGGGGAAAGCACGATCCATCTCCCCCTGTGCTGTGGTGGCAGCCTGCTGCTGAGGGCTGCTGGACACCACGCTGCCACCAGGCCAGTGAGGGTGCCAGCAGAGCACTGTTAAGCTGTAACAACTTCTGATCTTGCCCTTGGGTAAAACCACTTCATACAGATTTTTTTTTTTCCCTCCAGGAGATGAATTCTAGGAGTCATGATGAGTTGCCATGTGTATTTTTAGGAGCATCTCTTTCCTGTTAATCGCAGAAAGCTGACTTCAGCTTTTTACCAGCATAAATAGGCTTTGACTCCAAAAACTGTCCCACTTCTCTTGTAGGCAGCTGCTGATGCACTTTGAGTGCATTTGATTTCAGGGAAAACATTTAGTCCTATGCTCTGGGCTGCTAAACTTGTTGCTTAAGAGGAAGAGAAACATCTGGAGCTTAAATGTTCTCTATTGAGTAATAGAAAGTGACTACATGGAGAAGTCTATCTTGTCTGTCATGGATTTCCCTGTTACCTTTCTTTCTCAACTTACTAACACACTCTTGGAATAAGAAATGGTCAGAGGGATCAAGTCATATCCCTGAATGCTGGGTGCCTGCACTCTCTGAATGGAAGACTAGATGAGGCTGAAAGGGATCTTTGGAGATCAGATAGTCCAAACCTCTCCAGGTAACCTGTGCCCATGTTTGACCACGCTCATGGTAAAAAAGTTCTATTTCTAACAGGAATTTGCTGTTTTTCAATTTGTAGCTTATCACTGGGCACCACTGAGAAGTCTGGCTTCATCTGCTTTAGTTACTCCCATAAGGTAAGGAACTGATAAAATCCCTGAGCCTTCTCTTCTCCAAGCTAAACAATCCCAGCTCTCTCAGCCTGTACCTGTATGTTGAGTACTTCAGCCCCTTAATCATCTTTGTGACCCTTCACTAGACTCCCTCCAGTACGCCCACGTCTTTCTTCTGGAGCGTTGTGGAGCCCAGAAGAGGACACAGCACACCAGATGTGTCCCATCAGTGCTGAGTTGGTGGGAGGAGGGGAAGGATTGCCTCTCTCATCCTGCTGGCTGCTCTCCCCATAATGCAGGATGTCTGCCTTTGATTCAAGGGCACATGGCTGGCTCATATTCCACTGTCCACCAGGACTTCCATGTCCCTCTCGGCCAAGCTGCTTTACAGATGGTTGGCCCCAACCTGTCATGTGGAATTATTCCTTCCCAGGTGCATAACGTCCCTTTGTTGAATTTCATAAGATTTCTGTTGACCTCAGCCTACTGAGGTCCCTCTGAATGGCACCACAATCATCTGGTCCATCATTCACTCCTGGTTTTGTGCCCTCTGTGAACTTGCTGCACTCTGTCCCACTGTCATAATGAAGATACTCAGCAGTATTGGCCCCAGGACCTTGGTCACACTGCCAGCAACTGGCCTCCCTCTGGACTTTGTGCCGGTGATCTCAGCCCCTTGAATCCAGCAGCTCCACCCCTCCTCTCCCCTCATCTACCAAGGCAGTCATTTCATCATTTCAGGTGACCAGGTCGGACAGACATGACTTCCCTACTGTACATCCAGGGTGACTTCTGCCAGTCACCTTCTTGTCCTCGGTATGTTTGAGGCTTGCTATTTGCTTTACTATTTGCTCCATCACCTTTGCAGGGCTGAGGGGAGGCTGACCAGCCTGCAGTTCTCTGGGCTCTCCCAAGCTCACTGTTTCTTTCCTGCCATTGCCAGTTGCTGCATCTACAAAAAGCCCTTTTAAAATTGAAAACAGATGACTGACATTTAACCAGAGTTGGCAAATATCCTTGGACATGCTATTCAAAACATTTTTCTAAACTATATCACAGGATAAAAATGCTTATAATTTATCCTAAGAATAAGTTTGGGGGAAAGCAGAAAATGGTACAAATCCAACTTCAACTTTACAATACTCTTGGTTTATTACCATTCATTACAGGAACATTTATATTACCTGGAATAAGGGAGGGCTGAGATTTCACCAGGCCCGTTAAAATCCAGCTTGATAAAGTGCTGCAAGAGTCCCTGAGCAACACGCTGCAAGGATGTTTAAAAGATCTTCAGTGATCATCCACTCAACTCTACCCACCCAAGTTCTTTAAGAGCTGGCCAGGGCAACTTCTGGCTTCGTGGAGATAATTTTAATCTTTGGAAATTTTAGGAGGCTGGAAGCATGACACTGTTAGAGCAGGGCACTAAGTGACCTGTGGACTACTTTCTTTGATTCATAGGCAAAAAGATGGAAATGTGACAAGGGACTAAACAGTTAATTCAAGGCTAGATACATCTAATGCCAAGCAACAGGGCTGTGTGGAAAATGAGCCTTTTAAACAAAAGCCTACATAATTCTTAGAAATTGTTTGGCTGGTAGAGGTAACAGT